ACACACTCTCTCTCACACACACTCTCTCTCTCACACACACTCTCTCTCTCACACACACTCTCTCTCACACACATACTCTCTCTCACACACACACTCTCTCACACACACTCTCTCTTACACACATAAACTCTCTCTCTCACACACTTACTCTCTCTCACGCCCACACATATATATATAATATTCCCAGTATTCACATTTTGCACAGGTGTAGATCGATATAAATAACCTTCCGAACACGTTACTATAATAAATAGTCCATATTATAGTCCCTATTTCAACAAACAAACTGAACAGAGATGGTATGGCGAAATGTATAGAATGGGGAGAAGACAAACTTGGATAAATCATGGAGATAAGCATAATAGGTGACAAAAAGAGAATAGGACTTATCGTCTAAACGAAGGAAATTTTCTTAAGGGGATCAGAAATCACTCTTGCTGCACACTCTTTACCTTATCACAGATATAAGGAAACAGTGGTGCCAATAGTTGCATATAGTGCGTCACCTTTGCCTTCCCGTTGCTTTGGCACACACCCTTGTTTACAATGGTAACCGTTTTGTCGGAGTGTAACAATTCCAATTACATTATCGCAATGCTCGCTTTCTCCTCATAGTTATCTTCAGCATTTCTGAGGAACTGCTGGTGACTTCTGGCAACATCAGTGGGATAAAATCGTACTTCTTTGCAACAGTCTAGATAACGGTGAGTCACACCGATACGCGAAACTGAGCCTCGCCCGGGCTATGCCCATGAGGAGAGCCCGGCCTGTGTCGACTAATGCCGACTCGCTAACGTGTATCAGCTGGTGCTGACTCGGCTGAGCTTAGTCCTTATACGCCGTGGTGCCCAGTCGCAACAGGCAACAATTGCAACTTCTCGCGCCTGGGCGGCAAGCGAACCGCCGACCCTTCGGATAAGAGGCCGACACATTACCACTGTACTAGCCCGGAGGCTAGAGAGAGAGAGGGCGGGCGCGGGGCAGACAAGGCAGACAGAGATAACAGCAATAACACCCTGAAGCGGAGTTTCCACTGCCCTTACTGGCTTCTAGAACCAAACGCAACTCGACTCTTGTTATCCTTTCAACCACACCTTCGCGCGTCATCTGGATGACTATGCAGACCACACCTTGAACTTTTTTTTCAGGTAATTCTGCTTTTTTCTGTTGGCTATGGTCGCCTTTAAAAAATCTTGACTATTCTTATGCATTCATAACACCATCGAAAACTTTTAGAGGCAGCCTAGGTAGCTCTAACCCAGTGCTATTAAAGGAACCAAAACTGGAGGTTGGGCCTGGTACAGGGACAATGTTTGAAACTGGCTTGTAGAACCTAGGCTTTGCAGAGAAGCAAATTCCCGTTCACACCCGTTCTCACCTCGTCAGCCTTGCCAGCTACTGTTCATCTCTTCTCGTTCTCATCTTACTGTAAGTCCAATCCTCAGTAGCTATACCTCATCCCAAGTCCGACCCTCGGTAACTATGCATTTTAAATCTCGCAAAGTAAAATTAAACTTAAGCAATTTTACTAACATATTCCTGCAAAGCCAAGTACATGGTAGATGAAAAGACAGTTGTATGCATCCTATCTCCCCATTTGCATCTCAAGTCCATTTGCATCTCAAGGGAGATGGAACTTGTATATATGTGTGTGTGTGCAAGTAGAACAATGAAGGGAAGTACAGGAACACACACACACACTCTCACACACACACACTCACACACACACACACTCACACACACACACACACACACACACACACACACACACACACACACACACACACACACACACACACACACACTCACACAGATACACACTCACACACACACACACACTCACACAGATACACACTCTCTCTCTCTCTCACTCACACACATACACACTCTCTCTCACACACACACACTCTCTCTCACTCACACACATACACACTCTCTCTCACACACACACTTTGCAGCTATGCCTTTTACTGAACAACCGGGGCAATGTTCATCCTCATGGACATCGCCAACAAGCCTTCCTTTTTACGATGTCAGAAGATCCAGACAGGGACTAATGAGTCAATGGAGTGTAAGGCTTTCTGTCGAGGGGAAGCCCGAAATCTCATCCACCCAAGCGGAGGATGGCAGCTTAGGGCCGAAAGAAGGATAGAGGAGGCCCGTTCACTTCCCCTGTGAGGAGACACTGTCCCATGCCCCGGGTACACATCCCTTAGAAAATGGGTCTGGCTGCGTGGTTCTTGACTACATTAATAAAACAAAAAGTAAAA